CCTATGGAAATGTTGATGAAAAAAAAGGTAAAAGTCAACGTAATCAATAACGATCACTCGACATAAACGTTGAAAGCGATCCATGCCGCAACTAGGCAGAGCAATAACCTTGATTCCCGCCTCGGAGTGCGATACAGTTGCATCTCAATTAGAAAATGCATAGTTTTCACTAAGACATGATGTCATCTTTCAAAAGATAAAGAGGTTCGGAGAAGTTGGTTAAATTTGTAAGAAAAGGTTGCAAACAGAAAAAAAAACAATGGGCGCGGCGAAAAATTGCTGCGGAAAATATTTGTAAAAGTGGGCGTGTACAGGAAGATGTACGATTATAGGGAAGAACCTAGCCCGATCTACGATCTTTAAGGGCAATCATAAATGGGTCAGAAGATTTCTGCCGCACAATGTCCATAGTTTCGTCAGAAATTCGATTTTATCTCAAACCAACAGTTCATCATTGGACAATGCGGCTCGACCCGTAATATTTCAAAACTACAGAGATTGATGGATCAGGAAAACATTAGTTACGGGGATAGATGTCGCAGCATAGAAAAGGGTATGTGAAAAAGGTGGAAAAATCCGAATATGACTTCTACAAGAAGAATTTATGCAAGTAGCAAGAAAAGAAGAAGAACTACCATAACTGCTATATCAACCTATAAACAAATGCCACATATAGTAATAACGCGGGAAGAAACGAGTGGATGGAGAGGTCAGCCATTCATCAAAGTTATCTCGATTAGCGAAGGCAATGGCATACGTGGATATGAGTTATTGCGGCTACGTTACAGTACACATGAGTTGATAAATAAGTGTAGTGAACTATCAAAAAGTACAGCAAAAAAAGGGAAGCAAATTATTCATGCTTCTGGAGCATTGAATCAAACACGAGTGAATGCTACGAAGCGAGTATATTTTTTATGGATGAAACACGAACTCTAGCAAAGCAGAGACATGCCTACTATCGTCTCCAATACTCTTTTCCGTAGAAAAACTTCTCTTAATCCCCATGTTAATGTCTCAGGGCACAACGTATGTTCAAAAAATACACACTTCGTCTTCCCACGTATACTCTATTATGCAAGCAGCGTTTTTGCTAAAATGAGCCGTCGCAGTACTTCCGCAAAACTATGGATTTTTGGTATCGTCCTCAAATATTTTAAAAATAGCTATAAGAGGTTTTTTTCTTCTACGAATCGCCGCATCCATGAAATGATATTCAGACAACAATCGATAGATGGAGCGCTTTTCAACGCAACGTTGACAGCAGACATTACAATGTGAAGAAGAACGAAGCATCAAGTTGTACTTTTTGGCGAAATGTCTAGGAATCCGGAGATTACATGGATTGTGAGGAAAAACGGAAAGGAAATTAAACACTTAAACATTCGCTCTTTGGGCAAAACAACAAGTCAGAGATTAGTTCGGGGAGTTTCCGAGTTTATGGAGAGATGACGTAAAGTCAAATATGACTGGACGAAGAGCAGGTTGTGTCGGTCAGCGTTGGGTAAAAGGTCGAGAAGAAGGGATAGCACACAGCGGGGACGAACGTAATAGACGGAGACGAAACGGCGGCGAATCGATCGAAACGTAGAATGACCGCAGAGGGATGCGGGGCGGATTCGGGACAACGCTTCCCGAGAATCGGGCAACCCCGTTCGTTGAGCCTCCTTGGTTCGAGATAATCGAATCACGTGCAAGATTCAGAAACTACGCCCGAAACTTGTTACTCATGCAAATATTAGCCGGATCTCTACTGGACTGCATCAGAATAATTGAAGACTTGCAAGTTGCAGTAGTTACAACAAGCCACGCTGCAAAACGCTTAGCCAAACATTCAAAAACAGCTCACCCTCACGGAATGTAGCTTCTTTTCCCAGGGATTGATAGCAAAGCAAACAACGGACACGAAAACTATGACATGTGATGTTGTGCTAAGACGAAACAATGCTCACTGCTATTAAAATACGCTGGGAGGAGCGAGAGAGTTAGAAGCAGAGCTGATTACTCGGTTTAGTGCAAGAAAAATAGTTCTGGGAAGCTGATGAACATTCCAACGTAAGACGTTTCAAGAAACTAGTTGGATTTCAAGAAAATGTATTCAAATAATTCTTCTGGATCCATGATCTGGCAGAAGCATCATTTGTAGCATATGCTACTACAGCTACCCATTCTCAGAAAT